AAGGTAGTTGTACACCTCATCACGTGGTGCACGTGTTTTCGCACGTGCGCCACGTGGGTGTAGCATTTTGGGGTAGGTAGCCATTGGTGCATAATTATGCTCAGGTGATAACGTCACTGCATGGGTTTGAGCCAGAGTTCCAAGTCGGTTGCGACAATGACCAATGGTGTTAAATCTACTACGTGTCAAACACATGGCCGCCCGGGCTTCTCCATTCCGGAGATATTGTGACCGATAGTGGGGTAAGCCCTAATTTAAAGATTGGCCAAGTTTGATCGGCCACTGGGAGACAATGGTGGCGCACCCGAAAGTCTACCCATGGGCACTGACGACTCCTTTCATATGGTACAAAAGGGTGGTCGCTTTATGTCTTTAGGCCACACGTGGCACGTGGCACCCCACCTCGAGTGACCACGTGCACTCTCAATGTAAGGCGTTTTGGCCATAACTTTGCCAATTATGGGCCGATTTCGACGAAACTTGCAACATTGATGCATTAAATTGACCTGCGCCACATACGGCGCTACGAATACAACAAACTCATGTGCGTCGTTTTTGTTTCTAGTGCGCCACTTTAGCTACAGTGACCAAAGTTGAGGAATATTAGTTATTACGCGTATATATTTCGACGGGCCGATTTCGTCGAAACTTGCAACGGTAGTGCACAAAACTAGGCCGCGCAACATATGAAGCGAGGCATCAAATAGGCTGTTGTGCGCCATTTTTGTCTCTACTGCGCCATTATGTGCCTTAAGAGGCTAGAATTAAGGAATCTTTCATCAGTTTCATGTATTAATAAATTACTATGAGGTACGCATATACATACAAGTAACGCCTCGCGTCACTTTGGTCTTAATTGCGTTGGTGTTTCGGGCGTGCGTTTTGCGGTGTTTACGTTTTGCGGCGGGCGGGCGTTTTTTTTTTGCGGTGTTTGTGCTTAGCGGCGGGCGGGCGGTTGATGCGGGCGTTTTTTGCGTCCTTTTCGATGTTAAGTTTGTTTTCTCAAACTAAGTTTGTTCTTGTTAAGTTTGTGAAAATAATTGACATGATATAAAAAAAATAGATACTAAAAATGGTTCAGAATAGATAAATAAGCAGAAATATGATTGTATCGGTACTCTAGGACCTTGTCGCTTTCTTCCAGCGGCATTCAGAGGAACAGAAAGAGGACGTTCTTGCGGGAACTTTCCGGCACCCTCATTATCAGCGTTTTGATCTATAAAATGGTACAGCTTTCTTCAGCCAGTCATACTGGCAAACTCAGGAAATGTAGATGATCTTTGCTGTGCTGAAAAATTGGGCCCAGCTTTATCCATTTTATAATTTTGGCAATTTTTGCTTTTCTATACTACTACTGTGCATTCCTGTGTTAATTATCAATATAGGTATAAACTTTAACTTTCTAAAAACCAATTTGGAGATCAAAATGATGCTACCTTAAAAAAAATTATTTTGAATTGCTTCGAATAAGTATTTCATTTTTGCATTGATAACATGGTGGCAAAGTCACCCCATGTGGCTTGCGATTCACCTCATAGGCGGCGGAACGGGGAGGGCACCTTCTTGCCCCCCTTTGATTTTGGCATTTTAACATTAGCCCTAACATTTTGGCATTTTAACATGGGCGTTGCATGGAAAGAATGGGACCAAAAGTCGGCAGTGCCCCTCCCCTCTTAGTTGAAGGTGTTCCGCCGCTACTGATTCACCTGGAAAAATCTCCATCAAAAATTTTAGCTAAATGAAGTGACAAATGCCAGTTTTGTTGGATATGCTTACTAAACAGCATTGTCATGATCAAACATATCAAGTTTCAGCATAGCAGTTCGTCTGAAACATGATTAGATAATAAAAAGTTCTGACCTTTTCAAATTTGACAATTTCAATGACTCCAATAAAATGGAGCCCAGCTAGGCATTTAATGGTAACTTATCTCTCAGTGTTGGTTATATTGGAAGGCCCATCAAGTATCTTTCATGTGTGCATAAAAAATTACATTCTTTGTAAAGTATCACTGGAGATCTCCCTAAAGGCTTTTTCGAGAAGCATGGCAAAGTCACCCCGCAAGGCAAAGTCACCCCTGTTTACGGTATATAGAGTTTTTTTCTGATAGATTGAAAACTTTTCTTTGAAACCTTTTCTTGACCTACCCCACCCGGGCATCTTACCCCACTCTCCCCTGTTTTTGACGATATTCAACATGCTGGTAATTATTACTTCGCCACCTTATAACAAAAACATATGTGGTAGGTATATCAGCAGAACGTACAGATGTCAAAAGGGTGTCCGACACCCTGAAAATTGTCCGTTCTTATTTTTACATACGGGTATTTTTGTTCGGTCAAATAATTGCCACTTTAGTTAAACGAAGCAATTTAATAATGTGAAATATCATATTATTAATTATGGCACACTGTCATTGATATAACCAGGAGCGATTGGAAGAGCAAGTTCAATGTTATTCTACTTGGATTTCATGCTCAGTTTCACTCGTGCAATTAGGCATTGCTATTTTTTTATTTTTTTTTATTTTTTGATAAATTTAGTCCGAACCTTTTGATAGGAAGGACTTACAAGGACAGAGCCACCGCTAAGCGAAGCTTGTTGCGGTGACCCTGCCCTCTACCCTCCGATCACGCAATTCCAGTTATTACGAGTGAGCGACCGCAGCGAGCGAAGCGAAGTCTTTTCAATATAACGGAAAAATCTCAGTATGAGCGGCCCGGCCCGGCCCGGCCTGTAACGCTTTTGAGAGGCTTATATCTCAGCAACCGCTGGACCGATTGGCCTGCGGTCTTTTTTGCTGGGTAGCCCCATCCCTTCTACCCCGTAATTGACTACTTTTGATGCATCTCAGTGACCGTCGTGGCACGTGCCACGTGAAATGTCAAGGGTGTTCAAGCAGTTTTGCAAAAGTAGTGATTATGAGAGGCCCATATCTCAGCAGCGGCACGTGTCACGTGAAATGTCAAGGATGTTCAAGCAGTTTTGCAAAAGTAGTGATTATGAGAGGCCCATATCTCAGCAGCGGCTTGAGCGATAATTTGTAAGTCTTGTGGTAATTTTTATAGTGTAGCTGCATCCCTTCTACCAAAGGTCGGATACTCTTGATCTATGTGAGTGACCCCCACTGCACGTGCAAAATACAAAAAGAAGAGGTGCCAAATTTGTTCCCATTTCAGTAACTCGGTAATTACTGGGGCGATTTCGCTTAAAATTAGCATACAGGTAGGCACCCACCAGGCGATGCATTCCCATGTGTTGCGGTTAGGGTGCTACTGCACGTGCACGTGCGCACGTGCAGGGGGCGTTTCCAGATCTCGAGAACGGCTGGGCCGATTGCGCTCAAATTTGGTACACGGTTGGGGACCGGTTAGTAGGGTGCCGTGCAAAAGTCAGTTTGGAGTTTGGACCCCGTTTGCACGTGCGCACGTGCAGAATGCCGCTTCCAGATCTCAGGAACGGCTGGGCCGATTGCGTTCAAATTTTGCACACCGCTAGCGACCGGTTAGAAGGGTGCTTTGCACAAGCCCGTTGGAAGTACCCTCTCGCTCTTCCGCACGTGCAGGGCTCACTATCTCGCTCGCTCGTTCTTCGCCCAAAAGGCGTTTTACTGGTATGGCAGAATTTAAAGTCCAAAGTTTAACGTGCGCATACAGCCGCGCACGGCCGGCCCGCTCATGAGGGGACCGGTCCCCTCATGAGGCGCGAAGTCAGTGAGGCCTAACTGACTTCGCCTGGCTACGGCCTACCACCAACCGCAACCATACCTGTCAGGAGGCCCATAAATATCAAGCGCCCGTCGCGCTACGAACCCGCACTGTTGTAACCGGGAACGCGTGTTCTCACCACACGGAGTCCAACGCTCTATCAACTGAGCTACGGGGCCGGCTAAAGTATTTTACTTTACTAAAGTATTACGGGACCGGCTATTAACCCTATTCCTGGCGGGCTCCGCCGGGACAAGAAACTGGCTGGGGGGGCCGATTCGGCCCCCCCTGAGATCTCGAGAACGAAGCAAGATAGCGACAAACGGTAAACGGCATCGGATACGCACGGTCAAGATCTACAATTTTTACCAAGGTCATTTTCAGGTCAGGTCAAAGATGACGTCACAGGGGTCGAAAAGGTCAAAATGGCGGCGCTAGATATGGAGAGAGTTTTTCTCGAATAACTTTCGAATTAGTCAAGATAGGAACAAACTAAGGGCATCATCGTGATCCTCTCGTCAATCCGCATCGAATGATATATATGTTGACCTCGCAAGGTCAAGGTCAAAGGTTGACCTCAGGTCACGTGACCTCGAGGTCATCATGTATATCATTCGATGCGTCTTGACGAGCTGAACACAATGAGACCATCCACGCGTCTGTATCTTGTTCCTGTACGGAGTTATTGGACAAAAACCTTTGGTGACCTTTGATGACGTCACATGACCTCACAGCTGCCCGACAGCAAAACAGACCTCAAGGTAGTGAAGGTTGATCGTATATGAAGTCATATATGGTATATGGGGCCATTCCGACCTGTTTTAGTGGTAAAAACAGGGAGTTGATTTTTCCCCCATTGACTTATAATGGGGAGGTCGCGAAACTGACCTGACCTTAGGTCACCGATATCAAAATTCCGAGATATACAAATTGCAAATACCGGTACCCTAACTAAAGCCTGAAGAGAAGAAATTGATCGGTCAAAAACTCTAGCTCTGGCGTGATTGCAAACTTTTCTGAGGTAGGGTCACCAAACCGCCTCTGGTGACCTGACCTGAGGTCAGATCAACTCAAAATTTTCAGACATGTTGCGTAGAAGCCTTTTAGGAAAAGTCAGAAAATTTGAGCTTCCTAGCTCAACGCGTTTGGGAGAAATAGCCAAAAAACCTCAGGGGGGGCTCCTGAGGCCCCCCCCCGCCAGGAATAGGGTTAAGTATTTATGACGGCAAAGCTGGCCAGGTGACTGTTGTGATGTGGCGAGTGTGCAGCTGATGAACTGCTGGCTGCCCGCAGGTACCCTGGTCACCAGCCGCGGTCCAGGCACGGCCGTGCAGTTTGCGCTGGAGCTGGTCGGCCAACTGTGCGGCGGCGAGCGGCAGGCGCGCACGGCGGCCGCACTGCTATCGGCCGCCTGAGCCGGCGCCTCCATCCCCGCATAGCTGAGCCGCCCCCCCCCCCCCCCCCGCTGGAGCCGGTGCCCCGCCTGAGCTCCCCTCCCCCGAGCCGGCACCCCTCGCCGTCTGAGTCCCCCCCCTCCCCCGAGCCGGCACCCCTCGCCGTCTGAGCCCCCCCCCCCCCCCTCCCCCGAGCCGGCACCCCTCGCCGTCTGAGCCCCCCCCCCCCTCCCCCGAGCTGGCACCCCTCGCCGTCTGAGCCCCCCCCCCCCCTCCCCCGAGCCGGCACCCCTCGCCGTCTGAGCCCCCGCTCGGCTGTCGGAACTGCCACTCCGGGGGCTGCCACTCTGGCTGAACCAGATTGTAAGGATTTATTGAGCCAATACATGTCCAGGATTGTTAAGCTTATTACCAGCGAGGGAGCGAAGCCAATGAGACGAAGTTTTTCGGAAAATAGCAAACAGAAACTAACCCGACCCGCTTGCACCGCAGCCCGAAAAGTGATATTCTCTACCAGCATTTCGTGGGTGGTTTCCAGTCCCTTCGCCGAGATAGCCCTTCGCCGAGATAGAGCAAAACTTGACTCCCTTTCCTCCGGTTTGTTTTCACGGCAAAACATTTTTTTTTAATTTTGGACCTAAAGATTTGTCGTATTCGTGTGTAATTATCGGGTTATCATGCGTTCTTTTTTGTAAGGATTCGAAAAATATACGGAAAATAATTGTTCGACACCAATAATCTGTGTGTAGGGGAGAGTGGGGCAAAGCGGCCACCCTAACGCTTCTCACGATGCCAACGCTTGAATTTTTAAACTTGGAAAGATCCTTTCTATACCAATGTGATCCCTATTAAGTTGCCTTTTATTTCAACTGCGTTTTATTTCCAAAGGCGTTCGCATATGGAAGATATTGACAAAACTTTAAACCTATGCATATTGGCCACTTTGCCCCATACCCTGGGGCAAAGCGGCCACCGGCGTCTTCTCAAGTCCCGATATGAGGAAGAAAATATTTGCCTCATATACGACTAGGGTATTAGATGGTGACAAGGTCTAAGCGAGGATGGATGTTAACTTTATCATCTTCCACCTGTAGGTAGGGGAGAGCGGGGCCAGATGAACCACTTTTTATATATTGACATGCACAGCGAGATCTAGTTGTCATATCGAAAAATGCACAATGTCATGAAAAAATATGCTCTTTTGGCTTAATTTTAAGATATGTAAAATTATGTTTCAAACACATTTTGCTGCCAAACGCATGCTTATAAAACAGCTCTACGCCCGTTTCAAATGACCCCGATGCGAGGGTCAATTGAACCAGCCCATGGGGTCAATTGCACCTATCCTTAACAATGGGATGTTTTCCTCTTTAAGGCCACTTTCTTAAGGAGATATTTTGTCCGGTTTACTTTTCCAAATGCTACATTCAATAGGTCGTTGGAAAGCTAAAAGTGCAAAGTTCCTCATAATAGGTGACATAAAGTACATAGACTATGGTAAAATGGGCGGATGAGGAAAATGAGAAATATCTCAGGCTATAGTGTGCTTTCAAGCAAAAGGCTGGAGAAAAAGGGGTAAAAAATTGAGCTCTATTAAACTACTATTTCAGTTTAAAAGCTCATTTCAAAGGTGGACTATTTCCTTTAATGTTTACAGCCCCTGAGCAATAACCATTGCAAAGGTCACCGGGGTCCATTGAAACGGCCTGTGGCCCTGTTTCAACTGACCCTCAGAGAAGCGTTTCAATTGACCCCATCCGCTCCCGCCATCTCGCACGCGCCGTAAAGCACATGTCAAACAAGCTGGAGGGACGGCATCATGCTGAATGAAGGGCCAAATAAGGTGTTATTCAGGAGCCAGGAGTTCTTCTTTCAGCAAACAAAGGTATATGAGATAATACAAAATATTCATTAAAACGATTTCTCCCAAACGCCCCTCAAAAACACAAAAACAAGTGTCAAATCAAAATTACCGTCCGTTTGCCGCCCAAACGCCGTTGACAAAGGAAGTGGTCGAGCGCAGATGCGCAGTGGTGTCGGCAACGCCATATGTTGCATACTGTTGAAAATAAAGCCATGTTTCATCTGACCCCGTGTTTCAACTGGCCCCGCTCTCCCCTAAACAAAAAAAGGATTTTTATGAAAAAAAAAAACATTTAATTGCATTATTTGGTAACTCATGCAACTGAAAAGTGGCCAAGATGGATGCATGAGGACACATTTGAATATAAATAATGCTGTTTATCCAGATGGAAACAACTTATGGCAAATTGGGGGGTGGCTACTCTGCCCCGGCCACTTTGCCCCGCGCATACCGTCCGAGACAAAAATATTCCAGCTTAGCTATTAGTGGAGTAAAAAACAATAAAATTGGTAGAATACATATACGATAACCATGCAATGCATAGACAAGAGCGCTTGTAAAAATTCCAAATGGTTATGGAATAACATAACATTTAAAAATTATAAACATAGTTGGTAACCTGGCAAGGAAGGCTTTTCTGTGTTTCACAGAACAATGGTGATGGGCCTGAAACCCCGGTCTGGCTCATTCGAACGACCGTGAAGAGAAGTATAATTGGAAACTATAAATTGGAACTGACGCCAGCTATGAAGGGCTAAAACGATGGGTGGCCGCTTTACCCCGGGTGGCCGCTTTGCCCCACTCTCCCCTATATGTTACGGGCCATTTGCTTACTTGAGCAGTATCCAAACTACTCGGGCAGTAAGCAGCTTACCCAAGAGCCCGGTTGGTGTGCATTAGAGATGTCAATCGGATACCAACTTTTTGGTATACCGATACCAAACCGATACCAACTTGGTATTTGGTATTTCAATCGTAATATGTTTGGTATTTGGTTGGTATCATAAACCCTCACTAATGTATAAGAGACTAAGAAATCGGTAAAAAGTGTCGGCCGGTGGAATCGCCGACTTACTTGGTTCGGTGTGCCGATGCGTCCCCAAAGCTGGTCTCGAGCACTCTGTGTATTTGATAATTCACGCACGCTTATATACAGGGTCTTGCACGCACAGCGCGATCATATAAGGAGCGTCATGCGGCAAGCGCATAAGCTTATTCGAGGAACGACGCGGAAACCTCTGCAGAACCGGTCAGTCGTTGAATTAATAACCCGGATCTGCAGCGGGCCGCACGCACCTGAACAAGGCCATACGCACTTGTAGCAATAGTCCTTTGAACAAAGCCTTGCGACATTACCTCCCCTCCCCCATGAGCCGACAATAGGAGGCGTCAGAACAACACACGACCGAGTGAAGAAGTAGACGTCCCGAGCTGGTGGGTGACTTGCTCGCAGTGCGGAGATGTGTAGGTCCTCCGGATCTTGATGTCCGAGGTCCCGGCCCATAACAGAGCCGCGCCGATGAGGTCACCGTCAGTGGACAGTGACAGAAGGCGCGGCTGGCCGGAGCGGGCGGTACTGTCGACTGCTGGCGGCCAGTGATTGTGGTGGCAACTGGCTGGAGTCGACAGCGACGGCCGTTGGTAGAGGGGACCTCTGGATGGTGCGCGAGCAGAAGTCGACGGGGACGTCTCGAGTCGATGCACTGGTACCGGACCATGGTTGTGTGGCGATTCTACTTGTAGGGCGATTTTGACCGCACTCGGGTAATGTGGTCCCGAGAATGCGATGCCGGATAATCGCCATGGAGTCAGGTACCAGTGACGGTGTGGTTGACTCGGCGGGTACTCGACGTCCCGGCTGCCGGCCGGGCCCTTGGCCAGGCAGCGGAGACGTGAAGATCGGTCAGCCGTGTGTATTTGACAGTCCATTGTGGCCCATGAGGAGTGAGTCGGCATGCAGCAACAGGCGATGCGAGTATGGTCGGCTGTCTGCAACATACAAAATCTTTCATCAATGTCACATACGTACACCAGACAAACGAACAGACATATACATACAATTCTTAAAAACTATACATGATTTTTTTATGGCGATCTGGCTGAAGTGGATGCAAGTAGGTATGCATATGAAACGTGTGGGGCAACACATCAAGATAGTTGCCGCCAGACCGCCATGACATTAGCCGTAAGTACATGATGATACAACCGAAAATGAAGGTCGCCAAGAGTAGCCGAAGGAGCGATCTAGCCAAGATGGATGTATATTGGCTATCGACGGCATAGATTGATTACCATCGAAAAGATGAAGATAGCGGCGATAATAGCGAAGAACCAGTAGAGCCCCTGCTGTAATGTAGTTCCCAATGAAGAAGTGGTCGAAAGAAAAGAATCAAAGAGACCACTGGAGTGAATGACGGCTGTGGACCGGGCGACCGTCTCATTTCGCTGGGTAAGGGAAATAGAAGGGGTATCTAAACAGAAAGAGACGGGTTCACAGCTTTTAATTTCGTTATAGAAAAGACACACTCGTTCCTCGTGACAGGGGACCGACGTAACGAACTGAATTGTCACGAGGGAGCTGTCAGTGGATAAGGCCACTGCACGGGATGAAAGTGGGATATTATTGAAGGATACGGATACCGTACCTGGAGAACAGATGGATTTGGCTCGTATGATAATTTTGGCAGCCACTGGACATGAATGACACCCAGTGACTGAATCAATCGATTCAATACGAGGACAAATTTTGTAATGGGATATGGCAAGGGACATGTCATTGAAGCGTATGTGAATATTTACTGGGGCACTCCGAAGTAGTTTAGATTGCAAAACACCGTCCGAATTAATGTAAAGGTGGTGGTTATGAACGGCGCGAGGAAGGATATTAGGACGCTGATTCTGGATAACCGAAATGTAACTTTGAGGGATATGGCATCGAAGGGTTGTTTCGTAGTTAGTGCAGTCAACCATGAGGGGGCTAAAAATAAAATCGGTAGACAGCGGTTTGGGGGCCTGAATGTCACCCAATTGACCTGGGGTAGGCTGAGATGGAGAAGAAGCGGATTCCAGATGTGAGTCAGAAAAGTCATGGACGTTTTGGACGAGGTATGGGGATGGCAGGGATAGGGGCTGGTCATAGGTACCTAAGACATTCAGTTCAATGCCGGAATTTGTAATAACTTGATCGGATGTCGTGGTATTGACTAAACGATTGTCGATAGCTTCCGAAATTGTAATGATCGGTTGACAAGTATGCCCTGTAATCTTATCAACACGATAGGTGGCATTGTACTGTGGGAGTAGGTACCAGCGGAAATGAAGGCAGGGATCATAATGAATGACGCCACAAAATCTAGTTTTTGCCGGAATAGAAATGCATGACGTGATGCCGGGCCATGAAAGTGATTCTTTGGTGATTTCCGGAAAGTATTCTCGCCGAGGAACACATTTGGCTCCCCAGCTGCAATACTCAAAGTTAGGGCATATCAACTTGGAAGAAATTTCAACGGAAACCGGAAAAGTATAATATTGGTG